CTGAGAGCCACCATAAGGCCAAATAAGGACCAAGTTTGGAAACAATGGAATAAACGGCTCTTTTCAGAGCCACTTCTATCGTCATAAAAAAAGGTGACACGACTTCTTGCATTTCTCACTATTTTACCTTTTGCTTAGTATAATGAGGGACAGTCCTGATACTTCTCTTCAGTTCTAAGATATCTCCCTCACCTCTTTTCATATTTCAGAATTGGCTTTTAGGAGGCTTTGTCAACATAAATGACTCTTACGTTACACTAACTTTCAAAGTCATTGGGTCTACAGGATATTAAGTTGACTTAATTATGTAGATCCTTATGTGGAAGTTAGTTTTAGTTTAAGTAACTTTTTGTCAAACCGAAGCCTGTTTTGGGACGTTGGGATTTTTCTGTGAATGATGCACAGAACCCACTGGGAGTGTCTGTGGAAGATAATAAATACTGCATCTTGAAAAATTTGCCCTTAAGGAAGAATTGTTTTTAACATGCTTACTAAAAGGTGCTTTTATCACTACCTGGTAGTACAAAAGTTAAAGCAGATGTCCAGATACAGTAATCCAAGCTTGGTTGTAACAACGATGGTAATGAATGCTATTATTCCAAGAGCGCTAACAGTGGAGGCCTACCGTGTGAAAAAAAATACAAACTTATGAAAAAGCTAAAGACTGTTTTCAGAATAAGGTAAAATACTCTCGTATGTTCATATTTCTATTCAGGAGTAACAAGGTTCTTTTTTTCCGGGCTTTGGAAAGTTTTGGAACATTTATGCCAATTAACAGTTTTACCATTTTAAGAAATTCAGGCACAGGCTACTTATTCTGTTTCCTCTTATTCTAATATTTTAAATAGGTTTTTATGACACACAGGTACCATGAGTTACAGACACAATTTTACCTGTCCTGAAGAAAGTCCAATATAGAGAAACATACAAAAGTAAAGCAAAATGTAACAAGAGAATTAAGCCCAGAGGGATGTTGAGGGAACACAGAGGAGTAAAATCAGGTAACATCTGTATTGAGGATTAAAGGAAACGGAAATAGAGGAAAGTCTAGGGATTTCAGCAGAGAATGAGCTTCAACAGACTCATAGCTTGTATGTGCAGGCATATGACAAGAAGTTTGATACTGGCACATAAGGCAAATAGATCACAAGATAGAAAGGAGCCAGAGGGATTTGTAGGCCACTCCTTTGGTTTTAAATATTTTAAAAATAGTAACTTTCAAATTTTTATGTCCATCCCAGACATCTCAAACTTAGCCATAATCATCTACTTTTGGAAATTATTGTAGATCTGGGAAATTCAAAATTTATGTCCCAGGCTCATCATCACTACTTTCCCAGTGATTCTTAATACTTAGTATCACCATCTACTCATTAGCATGAGCCCAAATGGTCTGGTATCAGAGTATTCATTTTTGTGAGCCATTACTATAACAAAACTCAAGTTCCAGAAAATAACTTAGGTAGGATAACTGCTCTAGTTCAGCAGAGGGAGTGTTTAAAGAGACATGGAGTATGTGTCCACCTAAACAGTAATGTCCACAACTAGGACTACTCATTTCCCTGGAAAAAACCTTAATATTTAATAAACACTGCAAGATTACTTTGGAGAAGTATATTGACTGCATATATCCAGGAGAGGGTGCCCTACCCAGACAGCAAGTGTTCAGTGTAGAAAGGGCGATCCCAGTTGTGAACACCTCTTGACTTGATTCCTTCCTTAGCTTTCAAGCCCAGAAGGCACTGATTACACACTCAAAAGAATACCAATCTGATTAGAAATTGGCCTTAGATTGGTCTAGGGGGAAGAGGCAGACCACTTCCCACCAAATGCTGTATCTTTCTTTTTCCTGGGAGGGGACACACTATTTTGCTGAAGATGTCGATCCAAAGTATTAGAATATTATTTTAACATACTGAAATATTGGCATCATCCTAAATCCCATGTGGAAACCATACATCCTACATTTCATGAGCCTACTCACAGAAAAGTAAAAAGCATGATTTATGTTTGATGGCTTAGTGGTTGTAGTAGTGATCTTACCTAACTAAAAAAGAGGCAATAGGAATGCATGTTCTTACCATGTTTCACCAAGGTAGGAGATACATAGATAACACAGGAAAAGACCCAATATTCCAGACAGTATTTTCTGTATTAGGAAGAAAATGCACAAAATGTAGTTCAAAGTAAGTATAAACTAGGGCACTATCCTGTCAAAACTGAAGGAAAAAAGCACTGGTAAGGAACTCACTGTCAGACCCAATCCCTGCTGGAGAATCTGGAGCGAAGATTTCTCCGGTAGTGGTAGGGAATTTTGTACTTAGAAAAATCGCAACATAAAAAGTCCACCTTATTGTCTCAGTTAAGATAGGAACAGTAAAGACGAGCAGGTAAACAGTCCTTTTTCAGTGTGCACGTGGGTGGCTCTGAAAAGAGCCTTTGGGGGTGGATGGGAGCTTCGGGCTCAGGCCCTCTCCCCCGCGGATGCGGCGAGCGAGCTGGATGTCCTTGGGCATGATGGTGACGCGCTTGGCGTGGATGGCGCACAGGTTGGTGTCCTCGAACAGCCCCACCAGGTAGGCCTCGCACGCCTCCTGCAGCGCCATCACGGCCGA